TTTTTTTTTTGTAATCACCTATTGAATTTGAATGCACTACCCAGTGTGACAATGCCATAAATTGGTGAGTGCTCACCAATATAAAAATGGTTGTTAAGGCTTTTGTAGTACAGTGGTAGTATCACTGCCTCTGAACTGGAGACCTGTGTTCAGATCTCGCCTGTTGAAGTATGTGATGGAATTGCTGAGCAAGTTGATTTGAAACGTCATTCTATTCAACCATGGAGGATCTTATGACCCCATGACTCTGTCTCTGAGCTAGGATAGCAAAAGCAGTGTGTAATATTGCTGAAAAGGTCAATTACAAAATGATTTTGCCAGGATGCTGGGATCTTCCCCCATGACACCCTGATACATCAGAAGAATCCATGGCCTAGTGTGGGAGAAGTTAGAGACTATAATTTCCTGAAACTGTAACAAGGTTTCCCAAAGTGGTAGGAGGCTGGACCCCACTTGGGATGGCTTGCTGAAATTTTGGAATAGTGGAGTAACTGCATTCTTCTTCAACAGGCCCTGCCTTCTCTATCCCAGAATCCTCACTCAAAACCCTATTCTTAGAGGGGCCATTAAAATTTTTAAACTTCCTGGTGGGAAGAAGCAAGGCATGTATGAGGGCCGGCAGTTCTCAAAGTATATCTCACTCCCACGTGATTTAAAGTTTTTCAGCAGTCTTTCTGGAGTTGAGAGGAACAATGCCCTTAAATGGGGAACCTTTTACAACAAGTAAGTTTGCCATCTCCTGAGGGAGTGGTTCATTCTGTCAGGCAAAACCCTGTTCTGGGGTAGCTGTCCCTTTAAACTTTTGTTGCCATTGTTGGCCCAGCTGATGACAGAAAGACGTCACAATAGAGTTGACTCCGCCCACTATGACGTGTAGGAAGGGGCGCGGTCATGGTGTGGGCCACGCCCACCCACCTCCTTGCATGGGGGTCTTTGAGACCTCAGTAGTGGTGCAAAAGGGGGGGGGACATGAGTGACCCTGAGAAGCCCATGGAAGCCTCTCAGACCCTGGGGAAGGACCTAAGCCTATACCCCTGAAATCCTCTCGACCAGAGAGACACCGTTCTCCCACTTCCCTATTCCCCCCCAGCTCAACCCCCACCCTTCCCCTGCACCCAACACCCAAACCTCAGACAATGGACCGTGGCAAGCCGGTAAAAGGCATCCTTAAGAAGACCAGCAGCTCCAACCTTGCCAAGGGCCAAAAGTTTTCTGAAGAGGACAGGTGAGTTGGTGGGTGGGGGTCAAGTCTCCTACCTCCTTCTGCATTGGTATTAGTTTGGTAGAGTTACTAGCATGGCTGCTGAAGATGCAACAAGCCTGGTACCCCAATTGCCACCATACATTGCTTTGCCATGTGCCACTGACGGGCATAGGGGATGATGGTCGTGCCTGAAGAGGCAGAGTGGGCCAGTCATCCCAAACTCATTGCGGTGGAATTTGAACTCAGTTGAATCAAAACCGAGTTTCAGTGACGGTGCGTGCAAGTGTCATGAAAAGTTGTAAAATCCGCATGGGTTCGTTAACACTTTTTAGGGAAGGAAGATCTGCCACGTTTACCCAGTCTGACTGACATGTCACTCCAGATCCACAGCAATATGATCGACTCTTAACTGCACTCTAGCATAGCTAAGCGAAGCACAATCTGTTCCAGGGCAATTAGGGATAGGTTACAAATACTGGCTTTGCCAGTGTTGCCTACATCCCGTGAAAGAATGAGGAAAGTCTTTTTTTTAAAACAAAACTACTTCTGTTTGGGGCTTTGTGACTGCAACCATGTGCCTTCGAGTGAGAGCTCGTTGCTCACTGCCCTTTGTGAAGCTTAAAAGTGCCACTAATTGACTGAGGGATTGCTGCGCTATTGAGGAGGTGCTGGCTTCTCAAAGAGATGTTAACCCAAAGCCCCTGTTGCCCAGTCACATGGGTGGTTGTAAAAGATTCCTGTGGTGCTGGTTCTAAAAGGTGGTGTCCAAGACTAAGACAGGGTCTACATGGAGACACTGCTCCCATTCCTGAGTGATCGAGAACCAGGGGGCACAAGTTTAAAGCGAAAGAACCAAACTCCCATGAAAAAAATAAATATTTTCACACAGCAAGTGGCTAAGGTCTTGAATGCAGGTGAAGTTATTTGAAAGGGATGGATATGCAGGGTTACAGGGGGAGGAAGCAGGTCAATGGCATGAGGTGGAATGCATATTAGGAGGGCCATGCAGATATGATGGGCTGAATGGCCTCATTCTGAGCTGCAACAATTCTGTAAATGGTAGGGAACGTTATCCCAAGTATGAATAGCCAATATTTATACCTCAACCACTATCAAAAGAAAAGCATGATCTGTACATTTAAATAAAAGCAGCAAAGCACTTTAGATACTTGAAATGTGAAATCAAACCAGAAAGTGCTGACAAAACTCAGCATGTCTGACAACGTCTGTGTAAAGAGAAACAGGTAACATCTTGAGTCCAGTGACAATTCATATTGCTCTGTTTGAGAGCTTGCTGTGTGAAATTGCCATGTATGATCCCAAACTGCACTTTTTCTCATTGGCTGTAAAGCTTTCAGTGATGTTTTGAGACCACGATAAGTGCTATATATATATATATAGAAATGCACATCTCAATATTTTAAAATAAAATCAATGAGCAATGCTGCCCAAAGGCAGTAAATGTACATTCCCTCCTCCAGAGGGAAGGAATAGGCATAGCTGTGCTTCAGAGTTAGGTATCATTCTTAGGGCTAAAGGGATCAAAGGATATGGGGAGAAAACAGGATCAAGCGTACTAAGTTAAATGATCCGCCATGATCATATTGAATAGTGGAGTTGGCTTGAAGGCTGAATGGCCTTCTCCTTTTTTCTATTTGATGCCTTGTGTAGTTGAGGAGCCCAGTAACAGTCACTGCACTGGAGTGCATCTTTGGTTGAGGCAATTGTTGGGACACTGGACACGCCAGTGCTGTGACCTGACGGGAATGTGGAACAGGGCCGGTATCCGGAAAATATTTGGCGCTCCTCAACTGACATATTCTTCTGGTTCTGTCTGAATCCGCTGTAGTGAACCAAAAGCCATGGCACCAGCCCCTCCATCCAACACCTTGGCCGATAATGTCCTCAATGCAACTTTCCTGCACCATCTCCATTTCTCTTAATGTCATTTCTGTCAAGAAACCTATTGATTTCTGTCTTGAGCACACTTGATGATCAAACTTCCGCAGCCCTTTGAGAAAGACAATTCCAAACTTTCACCACCACCTTCTGAGTGAAGAAATTCCTCCTTACCTCTGTCTTAAATGGTCGACCCCTTTTCCTGAGACAATATTGTCTGCTTCTGGGAATCCACCCTGTCATGCATGAAAGAGTTTTGTAAATTTTTACTAAAATCACCTCTTATTGTCCGAAATTCTTAAGAATTCCAGCGCAATTTCCTCATAAAACAATTCCACTATCCAGGGGATAATCTAGTGAAACTCATCTTGCACTTTTTCTATACTAAGTATGTCCTTACTTAGATGATGAGACAAAACTGGGACTCAGTGCTCCAGGTGAGATCTCCTCAAGGCTGTGTGCAATTCGTAAAGTCCCTACAGTGTGGAAACAGATCATTCGGCCCAACAGGCCCACACCAATCCTCTGAAGGGCATCACACACAGTCCCATCCTCCACCTAGTATTTCCCATGACTAGCTCATCCAACCTACATACCCCTGGCCACAATGGGGAAATTTAACATGGCCAATCCACCTACCCTGCACATCTTTTGGACTGTGGGAGGAGAGGGAGCCACATAGACACAGGGAAAATGTGCAAACTCCACACAGACAGTCACCTGAGGCTGGAATCAAACCCAAGCCCCTGGCACTGTGAGGCTGCAAAAAAAGTGCTAACTACTGAGCCACCGTGCCACCCCAGCAGCAAGACTCCATTATTGCTGTACTGAAATCCCAACCTACTTGCTGCACCTGTATTTAGTGACTCATGGACAAGGACACCCAGATGTCCTGGGCACCCACACTTCCCAACCTCCCAATATTGAAGAAATATTCTGTCTTCTTTTATTCTACTGAAGGGGAAGGCATGTGGTTTCTGCTGGGATAGCAAGATCTCAGTGGTGCAGGGGGCCATTGACTGCTCCCATAAGGCACACACATGACAGAGAGGTAGAGGTAAGGGCATTCAATATGTGCCAGCATTCTACCAGTGAATACCATCAGCCTGAGTCATTCAGCCTTTACCAGTCACAGCACTAAGTAGAGGCGTGGCTGCTCAGAGATAAGGGATGCCCGCTTTGTGGTCAATCACATCCTCTCCACCCCTTTAGGATGACCACACTCTGCACTGACATTTCTCAGAGTGCATTTCCCAGCTGCTGCCTGTGAGTCAGAGATAGTAGGAACTGCAGATGCTGGAGAATCCGAGGCCACAAGGTGCAGAGCTGGATGAACACAGCAGGCCAAGCAGCATCATAGGAGCAGGAAGGCTGACGTTTCGGGCCTAAACCCTTCATTAGAAAATCTGATCTGCTGATCTGATCTGATGAAGGGTCTAGGCCCGAAACGTCAGCCTTTCTGCTCCTATGATGCTGCTTGGCCTGCTGTGTTCATCCAGCCCTGCACCTTGTTGTCTCTGCTGCCTGTGAGCAGCAGGTTGATTGAGGCTGCTATTCACCAATACTGAAAGGGGAGTGCCACACTATGTGTCGTGGCACAGTGCCCACTGTAGCCGAAAAGCTGGAGGTGCATCCTGGCGAGGAGAGTAGCCAGTGGTGCTGTGTGTGGTTTTTTTTATGTAGCACTACTGGCAAATTCCAATGGCACAATTCAGCAAATGAAGATGTGGCACAGGTCAGTGTCTGCTCTCCTCATTGGGAACTGGGCAGATTACCCACTGTGAGGCCCAGAAGCAGAGAAACAATCAGATTACTACGCAAAACTTTGGGATATAATGTAACCATGTGTGACTGAGTATAAATGACCTGGCGTCATATGTGTGAAAACATTTGAATATTTTATAAAATAATACAATTGTATATTAATAGGTAAAATTTTACAGTTAATAAGATGTAATAGCATTTTGGTTCCAGTGATATTTTTGTATCTGAATCAACAAATTGTGGGTTCAAGGCCTACTCCAGAGGTTTGAGCCCATAGTACAGCTGACCCTTGTAGACGAGGTAATGCAGCACCATTTGTTTTTTATTCAGTCATAGGATATAGACATCACTGGCCAGGCCAGTATCTATTGCCCATCTCTGATTGCCCAGAGGGCAGTTGAGAGTCAACCACTTGTAGGCCACAGACCAAGTAAAGATGGCAGATTTCCTTTCCTGAAGAACATTAATGAACCAGATGGGTTTTCCCCCAACAGTTAGCAATGGTTTCATGGTCATCATTAGACCGTTAATCTACCACGATGGGATTTGAACTCAGGTCCCCAGAACATTACCTGGGTCTCTGCTTTAATAGTCCAGTGATTATATCACTAGGCCTTTGCCTCCCATCATTGGGTCACTATTGAGGAAGCACTGCACTGTTGGAGGATCAGTACTGAGAGAGCACCACGCTGTCGGACGGTCAGCACTAAGGGAGCGGTGCCCTGTCAGAGGGTCAGTTCTGAGGGAGATCTGCGCTGTCAGGGTCATAACTGAGGGAGTGCTGCAGTGTTGGAGGGTCAGTACTGAAGGAGCACAGCACTGTCAGAGGGTCAGTGCTCAGGGAGCACTGCACTGTCAGAGGGACAATAGTAAGGAAGTCCCACACTGTTGGAGGATCAATACTGAGAGAGTGCCATACTGTTGGTGGGCCAGTAGTGATGGCATGCTGCACAGTCAAAAGGTCAGCGCTGAAGGAGCGCCGCGCTATTGGAAGGTCAGTGCTGAAGGAGCACTGCATTGTTGAAAGGTCAGTACTGATGGAGATCTGCACTGTTAAAGGGGCAGTACTGAGCTAGCGCAATGCTGTCGGTAGGTCAATACTGAGGGATCCCTGCTCTGTCAGTTGAAATGTTAACCTCAGAAAATGTCAAAGACCCCAAAGCTGCTAATGGCCAATGTGCTTGGTCATTTCTCCCCTGGTGTCCTGAGGCCAACATGTGTCCGTCAACTAATACCAACTGGAGGGGAAAAACGGCCATAATCTCACTGGGGTTTTGTGCGAATTTGCTGCCTGTGTATTGGCTGCCAATAAAAGTATATTTCATTGGTTGTAAAGTTCACTGGGATGTCTTTAGGTGTGTCCGCCTCTGTCCTGGTCAACATTCCTCCTGGTCGTGTCTTCTGGTTTGAATTAATTGCACAACAGATTTTCAAGGATCTTTGTGTTCAGTGCAACTTGCTATCCTGGCTAGTTTGAAGACCGTCTCCTTTTAAAATTAAACCACCACCAAATAACTCATGTCTCTCATGAGAGTAACATCGTACAAGCAATGCCCACCAGGACCAGTACAAGGGAAAGAGGTGGGGGCTGGTTAACTTCAAATGGAGTTGGAGGGAAAGGATATACCCTCCACGATCACCTCTCCCGAAAGACTTGGAGGTGAATGTCACAGAGCAGAGCCCTGTTTCACATCACCTGACTCTCCAGTGCAGCTGTGAGTGTGGCCCACTGGAACACTTAACACTGTGATGGCTTCGTTGCCCTTTACAGCGAGCAGTACAATATGTAAAACTCCGTCCACTGAAAGCAGAGCAGACTGTCACTCATCAAGCGGTTATTTGTGGGATCTTATTGTGCACAAAGTCCCTGGACTGCTGGGCAACAAGTGCCCCTGTAGAGTGGCTGCAGAGTGCATGTTCTGAGGTTGTGACAGATGCTGTCAGATAGTTCCTGTGCGTTCTAAACAGTGCGGACAGGCTCTTGTAACATGGCCAATTTCAAACATACTAGGCACTGGGAATTTCCGGGGTTGTGGGCAGCAGATGCAGTTGTGCAGAGATATGTATACTGACATTGCATTCTCTCGTCTAATTCCAGTCAAAAGAAATCTCAGTCCTGGGATGAAATGAACATATTGTCCACATACAAACCTCCAGGAAAGGACTACGGGCTCATGAGTATTAATGAACCTAAAACTCCTTACAGGTAATACAGGCTACCCAGTGTAGAACCTACAGCATACGTTTCTAATTTCCATCTTCTGTTATTGATTCAAACTGATAGTACCACTGGACAAGCCAGATCCTACAATTAAAGCTGACTTAGAGTCATAGAGACCCTTCGGTTTAACCCGTCCATGCCAACCAGATATCCTAAATAAAACTAGTCCCATTTGCCAGCATTTGGCTCATATCCCTCTAAACCGTTCCTATTCGTATACCCATACAGATGCCTTTTAAATGTTGTAATTGTACCTGCCTCCACCACTTCTTCTGGCAGCTTGTTCCGTACATGTACCATCTTCTGAGTGAAAAGTTGTTCCTTAGGTCCCTTTTAAATCTTTCTCTTCTCACCTTAAACCTATGCCCCTCTAGTTTTGGACTCCCCCATCCTGGAGAAAAGACCTATAAGGTTACCCCTCAGCCTCCAACCCTCCAGGGAACATAGCCGCAGTCTATTCAGCCTCTTCCTATAGCGCAAACCCTCCCACCTTGGCAACATGTTTGTGAGTCTTTTCTGAACCCTTTCATGTTCAGCAACATCCTTCCTATAGTAAGGAAACCAGAATTGCATGCTGTATTCCAAAAGTGGCCTAACCAATAGCCGCAACATGACCTACCAACTGCTATACTCAATGCATTGACCAATAAAGGCAAGCGTACCAAACACCTTCTTCATTATCCTGTCTACCTGCGGCTCCACTTTCAAGGAACTATGAACCTGTACTCCTAAGTCTCTTCGTTCAGCAACACTCCCCAGGACTTTCTCATTAAGTGTTTCAGTTGACAGATCTTGATATAAAATGCTATTTAGAAATAGAAAATAGAATGATCTAATACCCACAGAATATCAAAGTTTCAACCTGTCTCCCAACACTATATGCTGCAAAGGTTCCAGTCCAGAGAAATTACAGCTATCACAACATTTCTATTCAATTGACTTTTTACAGCTTCCTTACAATGGACTGTGGCCAACTTGATGATTCCTCTTTTTAAATTTGAACCCCCAACCTCTTCCTGTACGGAAGTAATCCCCCATAGCCCAGTATCATTCGACAAACTAAATGCACTGTCACACTGTCTCCCCAAAGCCCTGCATCAATCCTAAACTAATTCCACTGTCCCACTTTCCCACTGTCTCCCCTTTGCTCTGTATCAGTCACAAAACTAATCCCACTGCCCAAATCCCTGAATAAATCCCAAAATATTCATTGCACTACATGCTCCTCATTGATCCGCATCAATCCCACTTCCCACTCACTCCCCATGCCCTCCATCAATGCCCAAACTAATCCTATTTCCCCACTCTTTCCTCATATCAATGGAATTTCCTGTATCAATCCCCAAACTAATCCCATTGCCCTGCTCCCTCCTCTGGGGCTGAATCAATCTCCAAATTAATCCACTCCCCACTTTCTCCCACAGCCCTGTATCAATCCCAAACTATTCCACTACACCTGCTCCCTCTCTGTAGCTCTATATCACTCCCAAACTAATTCCACTGCCCTGCTGTATTCCCGTAGCTCTGCAAGAATTCCCAAGCCAATCTGACTTGCCTACTCTGTCTCAATGGACCTGTATCAATTCCACAATATTCCTGCTGTAGAGCACATTCCCTGCAGCATTTTGTCTCATTGCCAAGTTATTCCCAATCAAACTCTCTCTCCCTATAGCCCTGTAATCAATCCCAATTTAATACCACTACTCTGCTCCTTCCTCGTGCACCAATATCAATCACAAACTGATCCCAGTATCATTCTCATTCACCATAGGCCTGCATCAAACCCAAACTAATCTCACAGCCCTAATCTCTCCCAAGGCCCTGTATCAATCCTCACACTAATTCCATTGCCCTTTACATCCCAGTCCACAATTAATCCCCAGATTAATCCCAATGCCCTGCTCTCTCCCATAGCCCTGTGTAAATTCTCTCTCCACAGCCCCGCATTAATCCCAAATCTATCCTACTGCACCACTCTCTCCCAAAACCCTCTATCAATCTCGAAACGAATCCTATTGTTCTCCTCACTCTGCGTAGCCCTCTATCAATCGCCAAACTAATCCTACTGTCTCACTTTCTCCCCATGGCCTTGTATCAATCTCCAAAATAGTTTGAATTCAATAGATTCTCTCAATGGACTTGTATCAATCTCACAATCTCACTGTAGAGCACAGTCCTCACAGTCTGTCCCTGTATCATTGCCAAATTATTCCCCCTGAACTTTCTGTCCCTGTAGCCCTGCATCAAAACCAATCCAATTGCACTGCCCCATTTTCTCCACATACCCCAGTATCAATCACAAACTGATCCCAGTATCACTCTCACTCCCAATTGCCTTGTATCAATTACAAACTACTCCCACTGCCCACCTGTCTCCCAGTGACCCCGTATGATTCCTACTGTAGGCATGCTTTCCTCAGCCTCTCCCTGTACCACTGTCAAATTATCCCCATGTGAACTCTTTCTCCCTATAATGCTGCATCAATCCCAATCTAATGGCACTGCCCCACTCTCTCCTCCTAGCCTGTGTCAATCCCAAACTTATCCTAGTATCACACTCACTACCCATAGCCCTGTATCAATCCCAAACCACTCCCACTGCCCATCTCTCTTCCCATAGCCCTGGAAAATCCCCAAACGTATCCTACTTTCCCAACATCTTCCCATAACCTTGTCTCTTACAGTTATACAGTAATACAGCATGGAAACAGGCCCTTCAGCCCAAACTGGTCCATGCTGACCATGGACCACTCAGCTAGTTCCAATGGCCCGCATTTGGTCCATATCCTTCGAAACCATTCCCATCCACGTACGTATCCAAATATTTTTTATATGTTGCTATTGTATCTGCCTCAACAACTTTCTCCGGCAGCCCATTCCATATACACACCACTCTCTGTGTGAAGAAGTTGCCCCTCAGGTCCTTCTTAAATCTTTCCCCTCTCACCTTAAACCTATGCCCTGTAGTTTTCAATTCCCCATCCCTGGGGTTTTATGTACCTCAATAAAGTCACCCCTCATTGTCCTACATTCCAAGGAATAACGTCCTATCCTGCCTAACCTCTCCCTATAACTCAGGTCTACTAGTTCTGGCAACATCCTCGTAAATGGATTTGCAAACTGTACACAATACTTCAAGTGCGGCCTCACTAACAACTTATACAACTGTAACATAACGTCCCAACTCCTATATGCAATACCTCAACCGATGAAGGCCAGCATACTAAATGCCCTCTTCACCACCCTGTCCACCTGTGACGCTGCTTTCAATGAACTATGTATTTGTACTCCTAGGTCCCTCTGCCCCTCAGGACCTTACCATTTACTGTATAAGTCCTACCTTGGTTTTGCTTTCCAAAGTGCAACACCTCACACTTATCTGTATTGAATTGCATTTGCCAATCCTCAGCCCACTTCCCCATCTGATCAAGATGTCTCTGTAATTTTTGATAGCCTTCTTCGCTATCAACAATACCTCCTCATTTTGTATCATCCGCAAACTTACTAATCATGCCTTATCCATTCACATCCAGATCATTTATGTAAAGTTTATGTCTCAGTTACAAATTAGTCCCACTGCCCCAATACCAATTCCTAACCTACCCTACTGCACCACTCTCTATGCCCATAGCCCTGTACCAGTCCAATGGCCCTATGTTATTCACACAATATTCCTACTGTACAGCACTCTCCTGTCCAGTCTCTCCCCATACCATTGTCAATTTATTTCACTTTAACTCTCTCCTGCCTATAGCCCTGTATCAATCCCCAAACTATGCCCCCTACAGTTCAATATCACCTTGGCTTGTTTCAGTCCCCAGACTAACCCACTGCCCTGCTTTCTGCCAGTAGCTCTGTATCAATCACAAACTAATCCCACTGTCCCGAAAGTGTTGTTTAAAGACAGTGGTAATTTTGTTTTTATGTGCTTTTGATTGGGGACTGTAATGGGAAAGCATTATTTTCCAAACCAAGCATTTGTGAAACAGACTGCTGCACTTTCTAAAAGGAAATTATTGGGACTCCTTCTAAGTAATGCTTCCATTGTTGCTTTGCTGAGCCAGTGGAAGAGACTGGTTGCAGACCCACTGCACTTCCCACAATCTACTCTACCACATCCGCTGCTCACAGCCTGGTCTCCGCTACGCTGGGGAGACGAAGCGCCAGGGATGCATATGAAGTGAGATCCTGCTGGTAACAAGCAACAGATTGGATTGGATGACAAAAGCCACATTGACCAACAACAACAATGTGATTGGCTCCAGGGCATTTGAACTGTTTGTGGGTATAAATGGTATGGAGTCACAGAATACTTACAGTACGGAAAGAGGGCATTCAGCCCATCCAGTCTGCACGACCCTCCAAAGAACATCCCTCCCACAACACCCCCTACCCTATCACTGTAACCTTGCATTAACTATGGCTAACCTAGCTAGCTTACACATAGAGAGTCATAGAGCCGTACAGCATTGAAACAGACACTTCGGTCCAACTCGTCCATGCCGACCAGATATCCTAAATTAATCTAGTCCCATTTGCCAATATCCCTCCAAACCTTTCCTATTCATATACCCATCCAGATGCCTTTTAAATGATGTACTTATAACCAGCCTCCCATCTCCAGACGCTGTGGCAATTTAGCACAGCCAATCCACATAACCTGCACATCTTTGGACTGGATATGGCCACAAGTCTTTGGATCCCTGGAACTGGTGGTTGTTTCTCACTCTGCAGTGGATAAGGCTTGAAGCCTGTAATGCCTGTGTCACACTACTTGGTCCCCTTAATATTCATCAATTTTGCTTTCAATTTCCACCCTGCTGTCACATTCAACTGCTCCATCTCTGACTCCTCCCTTCCCTTCCTCAAGATTTCTGGGGATAGGTTGGCCACCAATAACTGTTACAAACCCACTGACTCCCACAGTTACTTGGACAATACATCATAGAATTCCTACAGTGCAAATTGAGGCCATTCGACCAGTT